GTCTAAAGAGATACGATCAATTGAAAATGCTCTCTTAATGAATAATACAAGCATATATATAGTTAGTATTTGGTAAAATATGAAATATATAAACCATTATTTTAAAATTATACTCACTTATAGAAGAATGGTGCTAAGCAACATTCCCCCCCCCCCCCCCCCCGATTATTCGTGATGTTAAAAAGTCTTCAATATTTTTTAGAGTATTACCTGTAAATTTTACTCTAATTGGGTCCAAAAATCTATAAGTACCCGATTAATTTAACTTCATACAAACACGGTGAATGTACCTAAATGGTTAAACAAAATACAAAAAAATACGTGAAGAATTACAAAATTACAAAAAACAATGAATATACCATAATGAGATATACCTACGTGCACCAAACATGTATTACCCCTATGTCCAACAACTTTTTTCCAACAATCAAATCATTTATATCTTTAGGATCGATTATGAATTCCTTTAACCCCTCCATATCTGGATCATGTTCTAGTGCAAAAGTAAACAAGGCGTCTTCATGGCGCATAACGGTACTTAATATTTTGGCATATGATCCTTCAGAGGGATTCAATAACCCGTTATCGATCTCGTGACTGGAGGGGGAGGTTGAACAACTCTCTTTTGTGCATGCTCCACATACAACATTTCTAGTAAGAAGTTGATTGGTCTCATCACCATCTCCATTCGTACACGGTTGAACGATACCACTTATTCTCTACATCATAAAAAGCATAGGAACACATTACTGAATTAACACAATATGATCACATGTACAAAATAGAATGATCAGAATATTCTCACATACCGCATATAACTATTTTATGTGTTCCATTTCTCTCCTGCGAGTTTCCCACTCCACGTCTAACTTCTCTTGAAATTATTTCTATTGACTATCAGTCTTCCTCTGTAACTCTTATAACGTTTCATTATTCTCCGGTCCGATGGTTTTTCTAGATGTACCTAAATACACTCTCAGGCCAATGCCATCTCCAACACCACAGACACGCTCATAGTGCTCCTTTATTCTGATGGTTTCTATTAATATATCATGTTGTGATTCTGGAACAAAGGAACCTTCACAGGTTGAGGTAAGTAACGAATCCTACACAACATGATAAGACATACATTGTTAATTACCAAAGAAATTAAAATAACACTTAACATATGAACAACAAGTCCAACGTACTTACAATTCTCTTAACGACTAATCTTGAGGCCTCAGAAGTATAGTCTCCATTAATTGGCATTTGTAGAGCCTTCTTCCACTTCTCATGTCGCGATGTGGGAGTGGTTCCTGATCACCACTCATCTTCGTATCTCCTAGTTGTTGTCTTTTTTCATCAATCAATGTTTTCTCATGTTTTCTGTAACCCCCACAGGACAATCTATGAGGGTATTCGTTTTTAGCCTTGTTCCCCTTTCCCGCTTCACTTTCAACATATTTTAAACATAAGATAAATATAAACGGTAATGGTTGTATCTATAAAATTATCAAAAAAATACAACTTGTACTAACAATGAACTTCTCAATACTATGAGACTTCACAAAATTTCTCCAAATCTTCTTGCTTAGATAAGGATATTTCACCCACGGGCGCTCAATATTAGGCTTAGGATTCGTGATGTAGTTACTCGTGAGTTGTGACTTAAAACTCCTCCAAGTCATACCAACATAAGTAATACACTTTCTTTTTTCAATTTTGGGTCATCATTAAACTCAAACATCATCTACACATTTACATCAATAAGTATGTATTCGTGTTTATATAAAGTATTATCGAATCAATGAAAATTAAAATTAATACCAGAATGTATGTCCATATGCTCTTTACCTCCTCTGTTACATCTTTTCAATCATCTAACAATATCCTGACTTTCCTACGTCTAAGGAATTTAACTTAATTCTTAAAAATGGAAGTATGAGAACCATCAAGAATCGTATAAAAGACACTAAACTCGACCAAAAGTATGGCACCTGACTTGTGGACCTTTTTTTAATTTAGGAATCACTATGGAACCTCTTTGATTTTTCAATTCTCAGCCAACAGATTGAAAACTATTTGTATTAGTTTCATTTATACTCGTAGCTTCATCGTTATTGGATAAAGAAGATGAAGAGGCAGTGGCCATCTATCAACAACAAAAGTAACAATAGCATCATCAACAACAAGGAATAAACAACAACAACAAATACACAAACAATAACAAATACATAAACAACAACAATGGCAGCAACAACAACGAATACACAAACAATAACAAATACATAAACAACAACAATGGCATCATCAACAATAATGGCAACATAAACAAGACCTCAATGGAAAATGAAGGTATTGTAGATGCATGGGGAAATGTTTATGTACCAGAAACGTGATGAATAAGTAAAAAATGGTAGTGGCTTGTTTGAGTTCTTCCTCAAAAGCCAAATCGAAGGCTTTTCAAGAACTGTAAGGCTCCTTCTTTGAGTTTCCAACGATACAAAAGCACATATGATGTTTAAAATGAAGGTTAACTCCTTCTTTGAGTTCCCCCTCAATCAATGATGTTGGATGTTTTATTAGAGATGATACTGTTTTTTTCGTTAGGGTTGCAATGTTGTTGTTTCATTAGGGTTGCAATGGTATTGTTTAGTTTAGGGTTGAAATAGCGATGTTTCGTCATAAAAATGAAAAAATGGAACTGAAGAGACAAGTTAGCTAGCTATGTTACCTTAAAGTGAATAATACATATCACCATGATTAGTATTAAAACCTGTTGTGATATATGATGAAATTTTATGAAAAACGCCACGTTTTAAAATTTTAAAAAATTAAAGAAAAAAAAGAAAAATATACCAAAACGATTATATTTATCAACCGTGATGATATAAGAATGACATTAATGATATTTTTAGGTTAAATAAATAGATAAGTTTGATGGGTATTTTAGTCAGAACATGAATTTGTGGGAAGGAGCTAGCGGCAGAAAAACCCAAGGAGAACGATCATAAGAAGGAAGGGAGGTAGTCCCAAAGGCAAGAAAGTTCAACAATCTTCAATTTTGAGGCAATGGGGAAAACTTTTCACATATGGGTGGTTAGGTAGTTGGATAGTGAGGGGTCCTTACCCTCCTATCTTCTTCTTATCCTTCTTTGTTATTTGTAATTATGTTTGTGGCAAAAGGGTTTGCCTTAACCCTTTTTGTTTTTCATCCTGGAATAAAGTTGAGTTGTTTTGTTTAAATCCCTTTAATGCTTTGATGTAGATATATGAGTTGTTCATTGTAATGTTTTTATTGTTGATATATGATATGTGCCTTTTTGACAACTTTTGCATGATTGATCTGAGGTTGTACCCTTAGGGCAAATTATAATAATTGAGTCTAGAGATATTTTTGTTTGTGAATATTGATATGCGTTCTTGGGCGATTTATGAAAAGAGAAAAACCCCAAATGATCAAAAATCTCAAAAGTTGGTAAAAATCGAGAAAATCAGAAATCGAGGGGCCGCACCGGTAATGAATAGTGTCGCGCTGGTGATCGGCAGCGGAGTTGTCGAAAATCTGGTGGAGCACAGTGGGCGGTTCAAGCATCCAGAAAATTGAGTGTTACACCGGCGGTCGGCGACGGAGGTCGTCGGAGTTTGGGCCGCAAGGCGGAGGTTTAGGTGGCACTAACGAGTTGACAGAGGGTCGCAGATCGATGGCGGCAGTTCGACGATTTCAAGCCTGTTGTCCAATTCGATGAGTTTTTGATCAATTTTGAGTTCAGTGAGTTTTTTTAGTGTTTGGAAGAATTAGAGTTATTTGATTGTCTTAGAGTTGTCAATGAAGTTGAGAGAAAATATTAATTTGCAATAGAATATTATTTCGAGTTAGAGTTAGAGTTCAATGGTTACTTGGAGTTAATTGACGTATTTTAGACTTACGACATAGGTTTTGAGAAACCCTTGCTGGAGATCAATTAAGAGTTTTTGGTAAAAATATTGATTTTTAAAATAGAGGGACCAAAATAAAAATAAAAATAAAAATATGGGGATCAAATGTTGCAATTAAACCTTTAATTTTATGTGTAAACAATATAATTTCATATCCTGCGTAAACAATGTAAATTTTTTTAAAATATAACTTTTCCCCCTCGATTAATGGACAGAAACCGAGATACATGGCGCTTATTTTTAAAATATAAAAATATTGTTGTTGAGGATCGAACCAATGACCTTTTAAACTATCCCATCAATTTTTGAATAACTACATCATCTCTGTCACCGAGGTTAACAATCAAAAAAGTCTACCATCTTAAAGCTAAGAAGAGAGACATCTCCCCCACCAATGAGAAACTCTCAGACTTTTTTCCATCCTTTCTAGATAAAATCTATCCACCGAGGAATAACACCTCTCAGAAATGATTCCCCTTTACAACGAGGGCTGATCCTCCAACTCTACGTACTAAACAAGGTTAAACTAATTAACTTGTCTCATGTCCTTAACACTTAAACCAACCAACTTTTTTATTTTAAACATATCCAACCACTTGACTCATGCAACCTTTAACCACCTTTGAAATCCTCCCAAAGAAAGCACCATTGCGAGCCAACAAACTTCTTCCAAACCGACACATACATCTTACAATAAAACATCTAATAATATGTGATTTTATACATGATCTTTTTTAAAATTTGTTTGTAATTTTATTTTGGGTCAATTTCTAATTAAAAGTGTTTGTACTTTATAATTTTCTCTTCTTTTTTTGTCTACATACATTCCTTTTTAAAATAAATAAATAAAAAAAACAAAGCAATATTTCAATAAATTCACATCAAAATTTGATTGTAAGGTGGATATAGTAATTGAATTAATATTTAATCTAGGTAAAATTAAAACCGCAACGTAATACCTTAATTAACTGCCACCCTTTCCTCCAAACGTTGCATCTCAATACACTGAAACTTGCATCCATTCAACTCTATATAAAGCCACACCATATTATCATCATTCATCTAAAACCATAATAACAATGGCAACAGAGAACAATAACTCGGACTCGTTCTCTTTGCTACCAGATCCACTTCTTCTTCCTATCGTTTCTTTCCCACCATTCAAAGAAGCCGCAGCAAGAACATGCATACTCAACAAAAAATGGTTGAACGCATGGCAACCCGGAAACGACATTGACTTCGACGAAAACTTCTTTGTCGATTCAACTTCCGATGAAATCAAGCAAGCACAAAGAAAGGTTTTCATCGACTTCATTACAAACTGGATTGCACACTTCACTCACCGCGACATTAACAAATTCTCCCTCAAGATTTCAAATCCTCATTCTTGTAGAAACACAATTGAAAGCTGTGTTGAGTTCGCCACACAGCGCAGGGTGAAAGACTTAACCCTAGATTTCTCATACAAGAAAAACTACAATAATAACAATAATGCTTTGTTTCCGGTGCCAACGCAAGTTTATCAACAAGGATCATCATTGGAAACACTGAAATTGAGTTCGTGTGGTTTCGATGTGCCAGATTCTCTTAACTTCAATGCACTTAGAGACTTGTCTTTGAGTTGGATTGATGTTAAAATCAAAACTCTACAAACTTTGTTGTCAACTTGTAGCACTATTCAGAGTTTAAGCCTTGAAAAGTGTTGGGGTTTGGAACACTTTGATTTGGGTTATGAACCAGTTTGTTTAACAAGGTTGGTGGTAAATAAATGCGAAATAGAATCGGATTATATATCATTTATTGCACCAAGGCTTGAATATTTTAAGTATTCTGGACTTGTGTTTACTTCGGATATAAATGCGAAAGAGATACAAGAGGTGGACATTGATTTTGCCCTAGAATCAAGATTCAACGAATGTGGCAATGAGTTATGCCGTATTCTGCTAGATTTTTCTGCAGCTAAGATTCTAAAAGTTTGCAGTTATCTACTCCAGGTACTATTCTATTCATTTCTTGTTAATGATTATTTATCATACTTTTATGGTTACTTCTAAAACATTTTGATTCTTTGTTATGCATATAGGTTATTCCATCTGGAGACGAACCGGTGCGAATACAAGGAGATTTGAACATAAAACATTTGATTCTGAACACTGAAATGCATCCTAATGAGTTAGGTGGATTGGAATTCTTACTCAACAGTTGTCCTTTAATGGAAAAACTCACATTGAACATAGGATCAGGAGTTATATTTGAGGTGAGTGAGTCAAATATACTTTACATTTTTTGCATATGTAACATGGTTTGGTTTGTTAACATTTATGCATATTGCAGGACTATGAACATCCCTTTGACGTAGATCTTAAACAATTCTGGAAAGGTAGAAGAGTAGTACCTGAATGCTTGATAAGAAGTTTGAAGGTGGTGGAAGTCAATAAATCGAAAACAACAGACTCTGAACTTACAACTTTGTACTTTTTTATGCGTACAGGGAAAGTGTTGGAGCAGATTAATATTCATATTTGTATTGCAGATGATGGTCTTAAAGAAATTCGATATGCTCGTGCGAGGTATTTGAAGACTGCTAAAAAGTGTTCAAATATTTTGCAAATATCAGTTTGTTGATGAATGATGATGATAGTGAGTGCAAATAGATTATTTATTTTTGTATTTTTTTAGTGTTGTTTGAGGGAATGTAATCCTGTAATGTTTTGTTGTATGCAATAATGTTTTTTTCTTTAAGAACACAAAGGATAATATACTTCATTTTTGTTTTCATCCTACCAGTTATTTTTCGTGATTATTGTATTGCAATAATCACGTATTAGATTGAAATTTATAATGTAAATAATGCTGATTTCCATTGCTTTTATTTAAACGAATCCAGACACGGGTGTAAGAGCATTCACATCCATACTACTCATATTAATAGTATAAGTGGGTCTCATCTAATATAATATATTACTTTACACTTCTCAATTATTTAAACCACTTAATTATATTTTCTAAATATCCATACTACTTAATCCAACGGTAACATGTTATTTGAAAATTTAATCCAACAGCTATACATGCTACAAGCTAATATATTTATTAAAAACTACGATCCTTTTTTGGATACGGTGCCAATTAATACTACTATCATTTGTCTTCTATTATCAATACTACTCTGACTACAGTAGTACACATAGACATAAGCCACAGCGATATTTATGCTCTAAGTTTTTTTTTTAAAATGAGAATTTCGGTGTATGTCTAAGAATAAAATTAAAAAAAATATAAGACTTAAATGTATTTAAACATTTTTTTTAAAAGGTGAGTTTTTTTTATAAAATTACTTATATATGAGATTATATATGAGATTGGGAGAAGTACATTATATTTATCATTAAAAAAATTAGTAGAATTAAAGTAAGATAAAAATAAATTTGTGTTGTCTAAAACTAATTATATTGACATTGTGAATTTATAAACAAAGATATTATAAATCATATTCAACAAATGAAACATGTAAAGTACCATGTATATTTTGTCATCATGAAGTTATTAAGAGGAAAATCGAACATGAAATTCTTATTTGAAGAATTTTATTTTTCCCTTTGTGTAACACTTACATAGATTCTTTATAAAAAATAATTGATTTAGTTGTGTTTTATCTGTTATTGCAGTAGAATTCTAACCAACAGAGTACACTTTCAAATGTTTAAACTATTTTAATAAAGACGATAAAAATATTAGTGAAATGATGAAAATGCAACAAATATTTTCTATACATGTAAGTACAAAAGGCAACTGTTGTACTCTAAAATTTGCTCTCTCAGTTCTCAAGATATTTCCTACAAAGATCTTCAATGCTTCAAATTAGGGTTTGAGCTTGTACAAAGGCAGCTGATTTCTAACGTTTCAAATGAATTTCATGGATCATTATGGACCCTCAGGATTATTTTTGTCAAGTTATAAGTCTTGGATCACAATTTTTCAAGAAAGTCATTCAAATTGCCAAAAGGGCGAAATGAGCAAAATTAGGGTTTTTGATTGAAAATGACCTAACTTTGATTTTTGACCTAATACCTGGCTTATTTGTTGGAAGCTTGATCACAAGGATCCGAGGGCGTCATTTTGACCTAATTTCACATTTCAATTCATCTCCTGAGATCAGTGGATTGATAGACAAAATTCAGTCAACTGATGGGAAAAGTCAATTGTACATTAAAAAAGTCAAACTTTGACTTTTTGACCAAAGTTGAGTCCCAAAAATCATATTTCCTCAAGACATCCAAAATATGAAATTTGATCATCAAAAATCAAGAAAGTCAAAAATCCAACTCTTGCAAGACTTGAAAAATTTTCTAAGTTAAGTTCTTTGCTTCATGACATCCTTTCACTACAATTCAAAATAGTTCAAGATGTTACAAATAATTCAAGTCATTACAAAGTTTCATTTTTGCAAGTTTACAATTCCTAGAGTTTGTCTTGGTTGAACTTTTCCCTTTGACTCAAGACCTTGCCACAATGCTTTGTCTTTGATAGAATTTGCATAAATTACTCCACAAACCAAACTTGTTTCATGCTGCAAACTATGTTGTCCAAGTTATTGCTGAAAAAAATGATATGATACTTCTATACATTACCACAACACTCCAAAACCATGCTCAATTGTTGTCCTACAAAACCTTATGCTATGCTGCACCACAAACCTGTCACAAAATCTGTACATGTTGTCCTATACAGTTCAAAATTTGTCCAGAAAACTAGTTCAAAACTGCTCTATGCAGTCTGCCCCAACCTGTATCATAACAGCCACAAAATTGCACCAAAATGGCAAAAGAAAATTATGTGGAAAAAGTATCAAAGCAGTAGGCAAAAACAGTTCAAAATAACTTATTTTGTTTCCCTCTGAAACTTCAGTCAAGGATCTACAAAAGGGACTATTTCATAAGACATAGGGAGGATTTTCTGGAAAAAAAATAGGGAAGAGAAAAACAGAACTTTTGTTAAACTCTGCTCATTCATAAAACTCAGATGATTCATAAAACTCAGTTCATCCATAAAAACTCTGCTCATCTTTAACTCTATTTTCACTCATAAAATAGAAAAGATCCTCAATCCACTATTGTACAACCTTGTAAACTCTCCCATAAACCCTCTAGACACTTCATATCACATAGATATTGTTCAAGCACAAGAACAGTTTATGTAGTGCCCTTATTCTCAACTTCTAAACAAAAGACAGTACTACACAAACTTGATTGTTTGGAGTTGGTTCAACAACCTTCAACATAAAGGGAAGTCTTGCAGCTTCCTGGAGTTTCATTAAGGTCCACGCAGCATCTTGAAGGGTATTCAGACTCAAAATCTAAAGTGCAGTTGCAAGGTAAGTCATCTTAATCTTGCATTTTCCATACATTATTTTTGGTTCAGTTCTGAAGATAAGATGAAGTAATCACCACTATTGAAGTTAATCATTTACTTCCTATTCATTTTTAACATTTATATGTTGAAAACTGATCGATACATGCAAAAGAATGGTGATAGAGACAAAAAACTGCAACATGAGTCGACACATACCCACATGGGTCGACTCATTCTATGTGAAAAAACAGGATATGAGTCGACACATGGCCTTATACATCGAATCATACTACTATCCAGGTCCCAAAACAGAAAGATGGAAGGTGCATGAGTCGACACAAAACACGTATGTGTCGGCACAAGCGGGAAATGAGTCGACACATCCCATTATGCGTCGACTCATACTGAGTTGATTTGGTTTGGCAGGGGCAAGGAAAGTTATGTGTCGATGTATAACAGCATGTGTCGACACATAATAGTTCAAAATGCGGTTTTTCCTTCTTTTTACACTATTTTTGCATTATGTATATATATTCTTAATTATTGTCCACTTATTCGATATGGTTGTAATGATTAGACACCTATTTCATCTCCATTTGCAAATTGTATCCCCATCCCCCTAATGATGTAATAGCTTAGGATTTAAATTTCCGCAAGTTTACGACTTTCATATAATTGCTAGTAAGATAGGGTGTGTATGATAAGATAAAATCAACAAGTAGACAACCTAAAAATTCAAAGACAAAATGCATGCAATCAAACACACTATTCACACATGCACCCTTAGGTTAATCTCACTTGTTGCCTCAGAGAAAGAGTCATGTCCCTCGAATATGGGCGTTTTAGCAAAGACCCTTGATAAAAGATCGTAGTCCCTCGATGTTGCCTTCGGTAAACGATCTAGTCCCTAAATGAAAATTGCTAAAACTTCCCATAGGTTGCCTTCTATGACTATACAAATGTCCCATGCCCGTCCCTTCACATCCAATGACGGGGCTTCTTACAAATCAATGGTACGATAACAACATCTAAAGGAGGAGGAAAAGAACATTAAGACCTTTTGAGTAGGTAGGATGCTCCTAGTTGCTCGCTTGTCACAACAAAAACACTTTATACACCAACACTTTCATTTGAATACTTTTTAAAAGACAAAGCTTTTTGTATGCGTTCTTATAGAAACGAGAACCATTACAAAGACACATTTTCAAAATCACTTTCAAAAACACATTCCACAAACACCTCTTTGAACTATTTTCAAAACCAACACTTTGTATGCGTTCTTATAGAAACGAGAACCATTACAAATACATTTTTTTCAAAATGCTTTCAAAAAACACACCACAAGCACATTTTCAAACAAAAGCAAGTGATCTAGTAAGCAACTAAGTGTCCGTAGATAACTCAAGATGGAAAGGGTGCTAATACTTTCCATTTTCATAACCTACCCCCCGAACTCAAGAAATAATCTCGAAAGGTCTTTCCTGTTCTTTTCAACCTTTCCTCATTGGATAAAAGAAAAGTCGATGGCGAATCTTGCTATCCGTAACAATTGCGATCAAACACAAAACACCCAAGTCAATTCTCTCCCCGTGTTACAGAAGTGGCAACTCTGCTGGGGACTTGACTTAAAAGTGGAGTTACCTTAGGGCTAGATTACCTTTACTTGATTTTCATTGTTTGACTTGCTCGCTTTACATTATGGTTCCTTGTTTGGGCTTGTTTTGATCCTATACCTAGATCTGGGGCACCTTTTAGGTAAGTACCAATCAATTGTGGAAACTGTGCGGGGTATACCGACATGGTTAAAGCAATAGCTACGTTAGTATGACACATTTGTTGGTACCGGTAGCCCTTGAGTAGTCAAGGAGAATACGGGGCCGCTGTGTGGTGTCATGAAGCACTAACTATCTTTAGAACCTTAATCGACCAACTTGGCCATTAGGAAGTAGTGAGGTAGCCGCATTTGGTGCAGTCCGAAGTTGGTTGATACTCGATACTACGCTCATTGAGATCAGACTTCGGTAATTTCGGTCACTATTAAAGAGGCTTGCGCTGAAACAATTCCCGATGAAGAAAGATCAGTGATATTGAGATCCCCTAGAACCCGGTAACTGTTACTAGGACAGGTTGATCCAACTAAACTTCAAGAGGGTACTTACCTACAAACCCATGCAAGCCTAAACCTAAGAATTTGCCTGCTTTGTGTATATATGACTATTTGTACATAACGACTTGCTTACTTTGCATAGTTGTACATAATATCATGACATCAT